GATGTAACAAATTTTCGTTTTTACTATTTTAGATTCGTCCTCGAGTTTGCTTTCTTATATCAAGGGTTGAGACTTAAGAGACAAAAACTTCAATATTTGTTATTCATCAGATTATCCTTTTTGTTTTGTTTGGGATTTCGAGTCGATGTCATCTCTTTAATTATGACTTACTTTTTAATTGTCCGATTAGGTTTCTCTTCACTTTTTGTTTTCATCTAACATTAAAATCTTCTATTCTATGTCGATTTTTATTCTCTTAGGTCTATCGTAACCYTAATTTGATATGATTTTCTTTGTTGTATCTCTCATAATCATTTTTTTTTTATGTTTTGGTGTCGTGTTAACATAGTTGACCTTCAAAGGGATAACAAGAACAAAAACGTTTATTTGGTCTTTGTTCAAACTCGACATATATTTCTGGGATTGATTAAAAATAATGTATAAGTTGGTGCAGCAGATGACAAAAGAATATCAATTTAATATCTTTTTAAGTGGCTATAAAGGCAAAGTGTTTTATTCCTGGCACTTTTGTGTTGTGTGACCTGATTTTGATGATTCAATAATCCAATATGGTTTCTAAACAAGGACATATTAAACTTGCAAGCTCTTTTGGACTTCCATGAAAGGATTATAACAGGTGTTTCTGCTGTAGGGGATATGCTTAAACTTAAAACCTTCAATATTTTTGTGTGTATATCTTTTAATAGTAACTTCATGATAAACTCTAATGTCTCCTTAAAATTAGAGAACTTAGGAAACATATAATAAGGTTTGGCATAATTTTGAGTTAAAGTATGCATGGATTCTATACTTAGAACTGGATAAAGGCGGGACATTAACTTCATTATAGTAGAAGGAGATAATTCTTGTGTCATATAATCATTGTTGATGTAATTAACGATCTTAGATTTGATACTTCGGCTTTCTTTATGGTCATTTTTAATATTGCCCCTACATTTAGATCTTATAACTACAGTCCGCGTATGATGTTTTCATAGTAACTATGATGTTTTTTCCTAGACAAGCCCTTTCTCTTAAAAGCCTATATTTTTTTCAATCCAAATTAAAAATTGAAAACTCGTTGCTTAAGATCACATTATGAACAAAAGAAAACATACAATTTTGGTTTAATTTGTTTGTGTGCATGAGGCTTATCTTCTTGTCTGAGTGATACTAGAAAAAGAAAATAAGTTTTCATAGAGGATCCAATAGAAGTAAGTTGTTATAATGAGGTTAAACTACATGCTAAATGGGGTCTGTTTCAAAATCATAATGGCTTGACTTTGTGCTTTCCTTATTTAAATGAGAAGTTATGGTTTGTGACTCTTTAGGATAAAAGTGTGGCTCAAGCTGAAAACCGACCTATTCCACAGTTAGATAATAGTACATAGATTAGACATCTATATGGTCTTATTGCTCTCAATATCTACTTTTTGCAACCATGTAAGATTTTAGTTTAAGGATTAATGAAGAAATTGTTGAACAAAAAAAAAATATTAGACATCTAGAGCCTTGAATATGAACGATTTCACAGCCACACATGAACATGTTTCATTTGGTAAAAATATGTGATTTAATGGAATATTTTTAATTATTTGTMTTMG